TCTCACGCTTAAACCCGATCTATCATTACCAAACCCGACAATTAACTTTCACTTCACACAAAACTTCAAAATCGATTTCAAAATCGAAATCGATTTGGGGAAAGCGAATTAGGATTCTTATAAAAGAGTAGAAAACTGAAATCGACCAACCATTGGAGGATTAGAACTCGTCGATTTCGTATGTTCCTCGTCGTTCTTATTTGTTCGTCGAGCGAAGCTTCGTCGAACAAAGCTTCAGCGATGAGGTATGTGTACTCTTTCCTATCAACGGATTTAGATATTAGGTTTTGTTCTTTTAGACAACGATGCATTCTCTGTGATTTAGGGAAGTCAAATGCTCAATTTTCTCTTCTGTTTCTGTTGCTTTTGCAGTAACTTTGACAGTTTCAAAGTGAACCTGTATCATGGAGGTGTTATGCAGAGAGACGATGGTATTGTCAGATACACTGGAAGAGGTTTGAAGAAAGGCATAGTTGTAGATCCTGATTACATGACTTGGAGCTGTTTTGATGGCTTTTGTGAAGTGCATGAAATACCTGGCGGTATAGTAGAACGAGTATGGTACAAGCTCCCACACGAAGACATGGATACTGTGAGAAGTTTTGGGTTTCACGGTTCTGATTCAGAGCTTATGATAATGTGTGCTCAAGCTATGTCAGAATCTGAGGTTGATGTGTTCATTCAGCAAGGTGATATTGTGCTTCTGCGTACCGAGAAAGAAAACAGAGAAAATGCTGAGAAGCAAAATGAGGAAAACGTTGAGATGCCGACTGAAATGGAGGATGATATAAGTGAGAAGAATGCTGAGAGAGAAAGTGAAGAAAATGGTGAAAAGCAGACTGATATGGAGGAGGATGTAAGTGATGAAGATGCTGAGAGTGAGAAGAATGGTGCAGAGCATGATGAAACGGAGGGAGGGGAAGACAAAGAGTATGAGGAAGCTATCAAAGCGAGAAAAGAGAGAGAGCTTGAGGAAGCTATGCTGTTGAAAAAGAGAAAGAAAGGTAAAGCTAAGATTTTAGAAGATGAAGAGGATATTGGTGAAAGATATGAGGTGGAGATTGAAGATGCTGTAAATAACTTTGTGGATGAGGAAATAGTCTTTGGAAGGATAATTCCTGAGAGTTTGGAAGGAAAAAACGCATGAAGAACAGAAAAGATAAATTAGCTCTCGGAACTACTTTTTTTACGGGGTTTGAGTTTAAGGAAGCTGTTTTAGAGTATGCTCTGAAGAAAGGGAAGAACATAGAGCAAAACAGATGGGATAAGACAAAGATTGGGTACAAATGTGGGGAAGATGCAAAGTGCAAGTGGAAGCTATATTTCTCTTATGATAAGTCTAGTGGGATGTGGATTTTGAAGACCAAGTACGGATACCACACTTGTACGCCTGGTGCGAAATGCAAGCTGCTGAAAGGTCCTGTGATTGCAAAGCTTTTCTTAGATAAACTGAGGGAGAAAACGAAATTGTGGCCTCTGAAAATTCAAGCTCTTATCAAAGAACATTGGGATTCAAAACTACGGTGAATCAATGTCAGAACGGAAAACTGCTTGCTTTGAAATGGCTTCAGAAGGAGTATGAAGCTCAGTTTGCTCATATTCGTGGTTATGTGGCAGAGATATTATGAAGCACAAGGGTTCAACTGCAATTGTTGATACATATCGAAATGCAGAAAAAAAAGGTGTTTTTGATCGGTTTTTTGTGTGCTTTGAGAAGCTCAGAACAAGATGGAAAAGTTCTTGTCGGCCAGTCATTGGCCTAGATGGAACCTTCTTCAAGATCGCCGTGAAAGGAACTTTGTTGACTGCTGTTGGTCACGACGCAAACAATCAGATCTATCCGATTGCTTGGGCTGTGGTACAATCTGAAAATGGAGATAACTGGTTATGGTTTGTTAAGAACCTTAAGGCTGATTTGGGACTTGAAGATGGCGATGGTTATGTCATGATTTCAGACAGATGCAAAGTAAGTATCAACTACTAGTCTAATCAACTAATATTGCTTGTCTTCTCTTATTTCTTAATATCCGGCTTATGTCTCTAACACTTGAAACATATTTTTTTTTCAGGGACTTCTTAGCGCTGTCAAAGCTGAGTTGCCAAAAGCTGAGCATAGGATGTGTGTCAAGCATATAGTCGAGAACTTGAAGAAGAACCATGCGAAGAAAGATTTGCTGAAGAACTTTATGGTTACGGTTCTTGATCTAGTTTTGGTTCGTAAACGGGTCTGATATTTTGGTGTTTTGGTTGTACTTCAGGCGAACACTTCATCGCAGGGTCATGAATCTCTTTCACTCACCCAACCATCTCAACTGTCGGAGTGAATCTCTTTCTTTGCTTATGCCTATGGATTATTACTCTTTCTTTTGGGAGTGAATCTCTTTATTTTCTTATGGCTTATTACTCTTTCTTGTGTAACATTGTTGTGGTACTTTTGTTTGACTTCTTTGGATAATTATGAATGCTATCTTTTGAGATTATGAATGATCTTTATTGGATTGTGCTTTGAGTATAAACCTGAGAAAAGCATGAATGCATTACACATTTGACCATTGCTCCAAACCATTACTTAAATAACATTCCGACATGAGTTCCATTCAACTTAAATAACCATGCCACAAAGCTTACAAGACTCCAAAACATTGTTTCTTCACAACATGGGTTCCATTCCAACACAAACCTAACTCATAATAACATTACCACAAAGCCATCCTATTGTCCCAACAACCAAAACCGTGATTCCAAGTTTCTGCATACACGTTTTTGCCATTTCTCGAGCCATCTCTCCAGCCATCTTCTTCTTAGTCTCAGTAGCTATCATACTTTCCTCCTTTAACTTCTCTTCCAGCTTCTCTTTCACCTTCTCTTCCACCTTCTCTTTCACCTCTTTTTCCATCTTGCGAGTTAAACTTGATTGAAGATCCAAAAGTTTCACCATTTCTTTTCTCAACTCTTTCACCTCTTCTTCAAGCTTTTCCTCTACCATTTTTGTCTCATCAAGCAAAGCCTCATCAATCCATTTGAAAAGATGTTCTTCAGTTTTTCTCTACACAAACACACAAATTACTCTAATTCTCCTCTCAAATACTTTTTAACATATCTATACATACAATCGATTAGATTATACCTGCAATGCGAGCTCACAGCGGTAGAATCTGCGAAATGGATTGTCCTTGGTTTGAGCAGCATATGTCACAAGGTTTCTCCCACACCAACATCTTGTTGGAACTCCACGCACTGACCTTCGGTTAGACAACCGAGATGAAGAAGAAGAAGAAGAAGAGCTCATTGTCTCCTCTTCGAATTTCAAGGATTTGATTTCAATTTCTCGCAACAAAATAAGAACCCTAAGCCCCAAATCGATTTTGTGTTTCAAGAGAAGTGTGAAGTGAAAGTTAATTGTCGGGTTTGGTAATGATAGATCGGGTTTAAGCGTGAGACAAAGCGGGTTTTTTATCGGGCAATCACTGTCTCAGAAACGTGTTTTTGTAGGTTAAAACGCAGACTAGAGAATTTTATTTGATATGGGGGAATCGACAGGAAAATAAGTTGTTGGGGGGAATAGACAGAGGCGGAAAGTTTGGGTGGATTCCGATTTATTGTGACTAGTAGGGGGGGCTGGGACCGAAAACCCTAAAATAAATCAAGATTTTGAGGTTTTTGAAGGAAATGTAATTTTGCAAGATAATGTAATTTCAAGGTTTTAGCGGAAAATCGTGATTTTGAGGATTTTGCGAGAAAACATGATTTTGAGATTTTGACGAAAAGTGTGATTTTGATGTTTTGGCGAAAAAACATAATTTCACGATTTAAGCGGGAAAACATGATTTTACAGTTTTGGCGGGAAAACATGATTTTACGGTTTTAGCGGGAAAACGTGATTTTTAAGTTTTGACGGAAAACATGATTTTTTGAGGTTTTGACGGAAAAACGGAAAACATAATTTTTAAGTTTAGACGGAAAACATGATTTTTTGAAGTTTTAACGGGAAAACATGATTTTGAGGTTTTGGCGGAAAAACATGATTTTTAGAGGTTTTAACGGGAAAATATGATTTTGAGGTTTTGGCGGAAAAACGAAAAACGTAATTTTTAAGTTTTGACGGAAAACATGATTTTTTGAAATTTCAACGGGAAAACATGATGTTGAAGTTTTGGCAGGAAAATATGATTTTGAGGTTTTGGCGGGAAAACGGGATTATGTGGTTTTGACAAAAATATTATTTCACGGGAAAATATGATTTTGGGGTTTTGGCGAGAAAATATTATTTTAGGGTTTTGTCGAATTTTTATTTATTTTACGATGTTAGCAGAAAAAATAATTTTGTGATTTTGACCGAAAAGGATAATTTGTAATTTTGACACAAAAATATGATTGGTGTTGATTAAATAAAAACAAAAAAAAGGACAAAAATGTAACTAGGGTATCCTTGGATACCCTAAAACTTATAGGGTTTTTTCTGGACTATCTTATTGGTACTAGGGTATTTTTAGGACTTTCTGAATTAGGGTCTTTTCTATAAGGACTATTTGAGAGTCAAGGTAGGGTAGGGTAATTTTACCCTATGCTCTTAGGCATGAAAATTTTGAGTCTTCTTTATTGAGTCGTTGATCATTCAGAAATGTGATTAGCACAAAGTGTTAGTGTTTTCTTGTGCTTCTTTCTTTTTATGGCGTACCACAAAATTTCAGGTCTATATAATGAGTTGCAAATAACTAATCTCCTTTAATGATGTCACTTTGTTCAGTTTGTTGGGTTTAGTACAACTTCTAACATTCTAAATCATTCTATTGAGACAAAAGTTTGTTATGGATCTGTAGAATCATATTGTTGATGAGAAAGCAGTAATCTAAGCACCAGACTACCCAAAAATGTCTTTCAAAGTAAACTCTTAACACCACCACCTCTTTAATTATCATGAAAATATCACCAAAAGAAAACTCTAGATGTCGTAACAGTTTTAGAAATCCAATCCAATGGATCCAGATCTTGAAACTTTTACAAAATGCGTCTACGGATCCTCTATTTTCTCTCTTTTAATAAAAGTTGCTCTCTGTTTGTCGGGAACAAAAGCTTAGAATATACTCAATAGGAACAGGTTTATCTATCTTTTTGATGTAAAGTCTAAGAACTTTCGTAGTTCGAATTAAAATATAAACAGTCGTGAGTAATTATGCGCAAGAACATGCGTTTGGTTTTGGATCGTGCAAGTGCGACACTTGATCAAAAGTAAAATACTGTATAGTATATTGTAACAGACATCAAATAAATTACTAATATTTTGGCTACCATCCAAATTTCAATTTTCATCAAACCAAATTTTGTTATTACACATCCATAAAGCAGAAGAAAGACATCAAAAAGAAAGAAATTACTGTTAGACGTTATAAAGAAAAAGAAGAAATGACGTCGCCGTTGTTGTCACCGTCTTCATCTAACCGTAGAAAACGCCGTCTCACTCACTTCTCCTACACCGTACTAGCTTTCATCCTACTCTCCGCCTTCATCTACGGCCACGATCTCGTCTCTTTATCCCGCCGATCTCTTCACTCTCCCACGATTTTTCCCCAATCCGCAATCCTCGTTGTTGCGGACAAACCTCCATCTCCTCCACCACCATCTCCTCCGCCTCCGTCTCCTCCACCGCCATCTCCTCCACCGCCGGCTTTTGCGGTGGGAAAGACGCCGGAAGGATGCGATGTGTTCAAAGGGAATTGGGTCAAAGACAAGTCAACGCGTCCGTTGTACCGAGAATCCGAGTGTCCCTACATTCAGCCGCAGCTCACTTGCCGCACGCATGGCCGTCCCGATAGCGACTATGCTTCCTGGAGATGGAAGCCTGAGTCTTGCTCGCTTCCCTCGTTAGTCTCTCTCTCTCTCTCTCCCTTACTCTCTCATTCGATTTCATATTTCGACTGCAATTAGCCCAATCCGGTGATTGATCTTCAGATCGGATTCGCTCTATGGTTTTCGAGTGTGTTAGGTTTGATGCGAAGCTGATGCTGCAGAGCTTAAGAGGGAAGAAGATGATGTTCATCGGCGATTCCTTAAACAGAGGAATGTACGCTTCTCTGATCTGTCTTCTCAATTCACAAATCCCAGAAAATTCCAAATCCATGGATACATTTGGTTCCCTCACCGTCTTCTCCATCAAGGTTCTTGTCACACTCTCTGTGATCTTAAGCTTTTGGATCAGATTTAGAAACTCTTGTGGTATATTTTGTGTAGGATTACAATGCAACGATCGAGTTTTATTGGGCACCGTTTCTTCTTGAATCGAACTCAGATAACGCTACGGTTCACAGAGTAACAGATCGGATTGTGAGGAAACACTCGATCCAGAAACACGGTAGGCATTGGCGAGGCGCTGATGTAATCGTGTTCAACACTTACTTGTGGTGGAGGACTGGCTTCAAGATGAAGATCTTGTATGTCACTTACCACCAATGGCAAGACTTTAGTGTACAAAAGGTGTTTCTCTAATTTTGATTGTTTCTTGGATTTTTGTTAGGGAAGGTTCGTTCAAGGATGAGAAGAAGAGAATTGTTGAGATGGAAAGCGAAGATGCTTACCGAATGGCGCTCAAGACTATGGTTAAATGGGTGAAGAAGAATATGGATCCATTGAAGACGAGGGTGTTCTTCGCTACTATGTCCCCTACTCATTACAAGTCTGTAACTTCTTCTTAACATTTTGACCGTGAGCTTATAAGTACAAAGGTTTCATCTTTTTGTTACTCCATGGATCAGGAGCGAGGATTGGGGAGGCGAGAATGGGAACTGTTACAATCAAACGACACCGATCCAAGACATGGACCACTGGCCATCAGACTGCAGCAAAACGTTAATGAAAGTGATCGGAGAAGAACTAGACGGGAGAAAGGATTTTCCGGTGACGGTACTCAACATTACACAACTCTCCGGCTACCGGAGAGATGCGCACACGTCGATATACAAGAAGCAATGGAGCCCGTTGACGAAAGAGCAGCTAGCGAATCCGGTTAGTTACTCAGATTGTATACATTGGTGCTTGCCTGGTCTTCAAGATACTTGGAACGAACTTCTTTTTGCCAAGTTATTTTATCCTTGATTAATTAAATTCAGAGTTTTTTTTGGATTAATTGTTAAATATGTACACTATAATTATTGTTCTACGGATAAAAAAAAGAGGAGCAAAAGAGTTTCTCTCTGTTATCTTTTATTAACTCGGCAGATAAAACACTTCATGACCAAAAGGAAAGAGCAAAAACTGAAAAATATTAGAGCTATGTTTTTTTCATTGTGAATCATAACACCCATTTTACTTGTTTCTGCTACCATCAATCCAAAGATTCTGTTGTCTTTTTTGCCTCGTAACTCTCAAAGATCCAGAGAAGCCAAGTCAAAGAACTCGTGACCATCGTGTGGCTCAAGCTGAAGCGGGTTTGAATCAAAGCCACTGTGATATATACCGTTTTGGTCTTGGTTCGAACTCGGACAAGGTAACATGACATTCGAATCCAAATCGCCAAGGAGCTCACCAACATCAAAGTACTCTTCAGAATCCCAGAAACCCTTGTCGGTTGCAATGTCATTAGGCCAACCATAATCCTCAACACTAAGCATATCGTTTTGCAGATCTTGTTGCTGTTGCTGCTGCTGTTGTTGCTGCATCTCTCTCTCTGCCTTCTCCTTCGATAAGCCGCTCCAATACTGCTCCTCAAACTCATTCAGCAAATCGTAATCCAGTAGCCCTGTACTCGCGTTACTCGCATCCTGCCTCGTTTCACTAACAGAAACCTCTTCTTTAACTTCTAACATCTGACTAAACGGTTTCGATTCACAATATGATGAATCTTCTTGCTTTACAAAACCTTCACCACAACCGTCAAGAACAGCTTTATCCTCAACCGTACAGACCTCAGACTGACTCGACGTGCTGCTAGTGAACTCAGAGCCAACACAGTCAGGGAAGTTAAGACGAGCCGATGGACCATACATGGCTTTAGCAGCTTCGTCATAAGCAGAAGCAGCTTCTTCCGCTGTAGGGAAAGTGCCAAGCCAGAGCCTGCTTCCTCTGTTGGGTTCTCGAATCTCTGCAACCCATTTACCCCAAATCCTTTGTCTAACTCCTCTGAAACTACACTGAATGTTCTCTGGTCCTCCTTTACCTTTCATACAGCCTTTCTTCGACCCTTTCGCAGGTACTCTGCGTTTAGGTTTCTTCTCTCCTTCGTTTATAAAAGACGCTTCGATGTGTTCGTTGTACTCTTTCCACTTCTTTAGCCGATCAGCCACCGTTGTACCGTCC